TGTGAGTATGAGTGACAGGAGTGATGTGTTGTGCTGCTGGGAGTCAGCGGCATCAAGAACAAAATTAATCATGAACTTTGTTGCAAAAAAATTAACAAAAGTACGTCTCACTGACGTATAAAACGTTTACGTTCATCTACAGTTTATGTTCTCTTGCCAAGTTCCTAGAAAAATAATACACACTGTAGGTTCCTGGTGCCTCTTTGTGCTGCCACCAGGCTGCTCTCAGGTTTAGTCATGAATTAGTTTTCACCTCAGAGACTGGCAGGTCATGTTAAAGTGGTCTGAACGGTCCCTGTAGAACCCCTATCAGGGCCTTTTAGAGAAGAAAAAAGTAATTCAGAGTAATTGGAGTCACAACCACAGACACTGCAGATTAAGTTAAATTTATTGTTGGCTTTGTTGCAGAAATGTTAGCTCATCACTGCTAATGGATTGGATAACGTGGTTTACCATTGGGTAACGTGACAGACAGACTGCTTGTCACTGGTTTGTATTACAGTTGTCCCAGTCCAGGTTTTTTCTTTGCCCCCAGGTCGCTCTGAGTCACCTAGTCTGTAGTATCTGCTACAACTGAGACTGTTCTGCTAGATTATACACACTTGGAGTATTGCAGACCAGCTGCAGTACCTGGTTGTTCCACCAGGGGGAGCCTCTCACTGTTTAATCCTGTAGAGACCAGAGGAGGCGTCACTCAGACTACAGAGAGCATTGTGGGAGTTTAGCAGCAGCAGGACCATGACAGAGACTCTGAGGAGGTTCATGATCTCCAACCAGAGCTCATCAATTAAATCATAACCAGTAATATCAGTGACTGACTGTTTAGTTTCTTGCAGATGCCGGTTATACGAGTATGTCCTGATAGGTTCCTGTTGTGTGTCTTTATAAGTAATGAATTAACAAAAATCCACTTTGTCCTGACCCTTGTTCTGACGTTGTGTTTCAGATGTTGTTGGTCTGCGAGTGAAGATTTCCTCTTTGCTTCCGCCGCCTCAGATCGACATGGACGCCGTCCTCCATCAGGTCAGTTAATGTTGCCCT